ATTTTTTCTCTTGATAGGCTAATAAACAAAAGCATAACCTCGATGAATTCTGTTGCTTACGTAATTGCGTTGTAATTTAGGTGACCTCCCTCTAATCTGAAGGCTGGATCCGCGCCTGTCCACGCTCCCGCCACCCCCTCAAGTATTCAATAAATCTGAATCGTGGTTTATCTTTATAGGATAAATTTGAGTATGCGCTATCATAAATATTCGCAATGTCGCGTCATTGTACATCATTTCGTTTACTCGATTGGACGGTTGTGTCGAATGCATTTTCGGGCGAATGCATTGTAACCAGAGAATTAGATTTGCTGTTGATTTACTCACATAAAACTGTTTGGAAATCTTTCTTGGAATCTCTTTTTGAATTTCAGTTCACGTTCCCTTAGGTTGTCTTTACTTCTTTTTTGTAGAATTATACCATTCTCTCAAAAGTATTTGTTCATTCCGTTTTTTGTTTCATACACTTAAATTCCGTTTTAATTATATTCTCTTTATATATATAGGTGTATATATATATGTATGCAAAATTTTGAACCATTAAATATTATTATTAAGCCAAAAATAAATTAATAAATGCCAATAAGAGCCGACACTGGATGTTGGTGTGTAAATTTATTTGATTAGTAAATAATAAGTACACTAATTATTTCGTATACGTTTCGACCTATGATTAAGGTCCTTTTCAATACTTCTAGTTAACGAATTTTCCAACACAACATGAACTTGAATTTGTTGTTAGAATTATAATTAAAGTGGCAATGTCCATCGAGCAGTCAAATCTTGTTCATTAAAGTGATAATTTTACTAAAATATGGTTAAGTTCAATATTAAAATGAAGAATAATAAAGATCAATAAAATAAGAATATAATATATGTACCATGACAGATAAGATTTGACCACGAGAAGATTTATAAAATATAAAAAGAGTACTTATTGTTTACTAATCAAATAAATTTACACAAACATCCAGTGTCGGCTTTTATTGGCATTTATTAATTTATTTTTGATTTATTCATACGAGTCTTTTACTATATTTTATATTTATTATTATTAAGGCTGGATTCGTTTCATCTTTTGATAAATTTTAGCTTACTCGCTTTCTCGCTCTAACTCTTGTTTTCTGTTTTGTATATTCTTTTATTCATTATAGATGAATTATCACATAGTTCATCCGAAGGTGAAACAATCGTCTCTAATCTAAAGTCACTCTTCTTGATTTAATATTAAGAAGAAGACAAAAAATGGGTATAAAACATTTAAGAGCGTAGGTACACAATTTATTAAATAAATAAATAAACTTATTAATTTATCCTAGTCGTGTCAAATACAAAGTCCTAAAATGCGTCACAAGTCATGGTTCTCTTACTTCCAAGCTAGACATTCAATTACGTTCAATGGATACGGGGGGGGGATTAGTAATTGTTGCGTGTGAGCGTGTAACAATTACGAATTGGCAAGTGCAAGAATAATTTATCTTACACTATTCACGTGGGCGGCTCGCATGACATATTACGTCCATCATGAGTGAGTATGAGCCAGCAAACGAAACGCGCACACAGCTAAACCCACACATTACTTCCGCTTTATCATAATCTTTATTAACGACTGCATAACGGGCAGTCCTTTATTATCACCGCAGATAATTCCCTCTTTTCCTCGCGATTCATGTTACATCATACCGATTTATTCGAAGTAAAGATATTAGCGTGATTGTGATTACACTATTAATTCAATTATACCATTAATAGAAATTGCTGAACATCAAGGATATTTTTATAATCGGAGATTATTCTGTGTTTTTGACGAGGAAACGTTTATCTTCAGTAAAGATTACACGCAGCGCTTTATATCGTCAATCTTACAAAAATGAAGTAAATTATAGTTAATCGAATGATCGTATAGGTAAATAATTTATTTTTACATACATACATAGAGCTTTTAACATATAATATATCCTTATATTATAATAGAAAGAAAGGATGTTTTCGTGTATTAGCTGAATTATACAGATTTTAAAATAATTTTGTTTGGACCATCAAAATGATTGTGAAGGATGTTTAAACTAATTGCTAGAATGAAACTTTTTGCAGCATTTCCCATTATGTTTCAAACTCTTACGCAACTACTTTGATAGAGTTGAATAAAATTATTATTTTTAGATCTATTTATAAATTTTTAGATACTTCAGCGAAATCATTCTTTGCGTATAAGTCTATATTCTTTTCAGCCGAACTTCGTTTTTCTCTTGTGCACGATTCATCTTTCCTCTTTTTTTCTTCACGTGAAAGAAAGATAGATCGTGTAAGAAGTTGAGCTAAAAAAGGAACAGAAACTAATAAACTTGGAAACTGCGCACGCTCATCCCATTATTTATTCAACTAACATTTAATTAAGAGAGGAGCTTTGAGTTCACCTTGCTGGCCAATGTTCAACGTAAGCGCGCCGACACGAATCGATCACCCAGCGACGGAAAAAAGAAAGTGAGAGAATAATTTAATCAACGATCAGCGCAATATGCTTAGCGTTCGTTTCGTTTCGTGACGCGCGACACACACGTCGCTCATTCATATGAGAGACCTCTCGCTTTGCGCGAGGCGTGTAAACAGGACAAATACATCGTTGAACTTCGCGGTTGGACTGTTAAAAAAAAATGTTACACCGCACACACACACGTGTGTTTTCGCGTCGACCGCGAGGACCTCAATGAAGAGATTGACAGCGGGATGCTGCAACCCCTTCACCGCAAATATGCATGACGATAGTAACGGAATTTATTGCTTTCGTTTCTCTCTCTCTCTCGCTCTCTCCTTTTTTCTTTTTCTTTCTCCCAATTTCGACACTCGTGCCGTTATATTACGTCCTATTTTTTATGGACTTGCCTATGCATCACTTGTTTACTAGCCGAATCAGACTCGAGGGGATATTTCCGAAGAGATAGAGATTTTATAGTTTAACAGAGTTACGCGATCATAATACATATACGCTGATTAGCTGGAGTGAAAATTGCTTTTTATCCTTGTTTTATGCGCCTAATGAACGATAAAGCGTTGACTATTGTGTCATTCTATCTTTATTAAACGTAAAGCAAGGACAGAATGCGATTTTCACTCCAGCCAAACGGCAATTATCACGATCACGTGATTCTTGGCGCATTAAAGGCCTGATTGCACCAACGTGATTTCGATTTTAAGCGAAACTTTAAACTGTCTCTGTCTCTCTTTCGGCTTTAAAACGAGATAGATAAGAGTTTTAAGTCTCGTTTAAAATTAAAAAGTGTTGATGCAACCGGGCCTTAATTCTACGATACTTCAAGAGATTCGTTCGCGTCGCTTAAAATCTTCAAAAATTTTTGAACGTAAAACAAAATATACGTACGTATTCGGACGTTGATGAGAGAGAAAGCAAAGACGCTGAGTGCAAAAAGTGCAAGCGACGACGCGAGCAGACTTGGGAGTCTTTACGAGAAGAAAGAAGCTCGCAACAATTCGTATTTCTCCGCGACAGATTTCGTTGAATGGGAGGCAAGACGTTCCTGTTCCGCGTCACGATTCTTCCTCGCGTGTTTATGGAGTTAGTGCATTCAAATGCGACTCGCGGACGCGAGTCGAATTTCTGCGTATAGGTATTACATAAATTTCGCGCATGAAAATCGGAACGAGTTTCACCGAATTCGCATTCGAGGAGTGTCACGTCGCGTCGTCGCGTTGTAACAAGGGAAATTCGCGGAGTCGAGTGACTTGTACGTTTCTAATGAGTCGCGTGAACACGCGTGTGTAAGTGACACGCAACGGCGGATTCATTTTGTTCAGCTGGTTAGACCGACTTTCGTTCTGATTACGATACCGATTACGAAAAGCGTTTTCGTCTCGGTTTTCGTTGTGCCCGTACAGCTCAATTCATTCCATTAAAAGTGATCTCGCGCGCTTCGTTCGCTTCCTAGTTAAGCACAAGTTTCCAAACAGCATTCCGTACTATTATTTAGGGACTTAAGGACTTGGACACAATGAAAGGCACGGGCAATAGGAACAGAGAATAACGGATTTCAATCTACTAGAAATCGTGTATTTACACCTACACTAATACACGATTGGAAAGCACAGGCAATAGAAACGGGGAAACAACAGATTTCAATCTGCTTGCAGAAATCGTATGACACACCGTATAATGCACAGTTTTTGACACGAGTTGACATCTGTTATTTCCTGTTCCTATAAAAGGAACGAGTTTGCTAAAGTATCTAAAAATTCAGCTATAGATCCGATACAGATCTAAAAGTAGATTTAACATATTCTATCCATCAGCTTGAAAATCTTACATACTAATTATTTTGATAGTTTCATAAACTTATTTCCAAGTCCGTATATCGCTAAATTTGTTTCTATAGTATCCTTCCCCCCCCCCCCCCCCCCTAAATTTCGACATCTTTGCTGGTCAACGATCGCATTTAAATATCATTTGTAATTTTGAAGAGCAGGTCAGATTTCTTCCTTCGGTATCTCTTTTTAAAGGCAATTAAAAGATCCGCTAAAAAGGAATGAAATATATACACTCTTCAAGCATATCAAATATTAAAGATAAACGATAAGCAATTTAATTGATAAAACAAACGGATAGTATATTTCTCAAATATTCACATTATTTCGTCTAATCCCTGTAGATTCAAGAATATACACATGCTCGACCTCTGCGCGGTAAAAATAATTTTTTATTTTTCATCAGATTACGATGTGGCAACGTTTTTCTCTCTTTATCAAATTTAATTCACGAGCGCCGCAAGAATTTCGGAAGACTACCCCGGCCGGGCGGGGGGGTGGTTCTCGCGTCAAGTTTAAACTCCGACGCAACCCTCGATGCACCGCACCAGCCAGGCCGCTCGGCCGTCTCCGTCGGCTCTCGGCCACGACCGGCAAACGCGCGCGGCGTATGCGTCCGGCAACCAGCGCCGTGACCTGTCGGCAGACTACCAAAGCAGACGAAAGTTAAGTCAGACGCCGACGATCGGGAAACGATGTCGCCGTCTTTGTTGTGCGCGCCGCCGTCGCCGCCGCCGCCGCCGTCGCCGCCGACCATCGCCGCCTCCAACTGCGGGCCCGCAGTCGGTGCGTTGGCCGTTTCCACCGTTTGTCGCGTCTCCGCGACTTAGGTCATCTCCATCCGCGTGAATCGCCCGCGGGGGGGACTGTTTGTGCTGCTGCGCCTGATTGCAAGCGGCGGCGGTTCGACCGCCGCCGCCACTGTCGCTGCCGCGCGCGGCGTCCGTCCGTCGCACGTGCACGCGTCCACGAGTCCATCGGCGAGTACATCGCCGTGCGCGGATACATCCGTGGGTAGTATCGATTTGCGTTTGAGAAACGCAGGAGGGAACGCACGAAACAAAGGGAAGGAAAGGAAGGTACTCCTCGCACGTACACGCTCCGCGTGCGACCCGCCGTGCGCGGCGTCGCGCGGCGTCGCGTCGCGTCGCGTCGCGTCGCGTTTCGTTGCGACGCGCGACGTCTCGGCGACACGCAATAATTTCACATTCGCGCCCGTCGTCGGCAGTAGTAGGCGAGAGACGGAGGAGAAGGAGAGGAGATCGGAGTAGGAGTATAGAGACAACGGCGGCGGCGGCGGTGGCGGCGTCACCACACGCGCGGCGTATACCGAGAGATCTAACGTGTTACTCCCGTGTGTTGTAACGACGAGCGTCGACGCCGCGTCACGCGGCGGTGTGGGGCCGCGCGATAACGCACACACGAGAGAGGGACGCACAGCGGCGGCCGGCGACGCCGTAACACGCAGCAACGTCACGTCCCCGATGGTGAGTCTGTGAATCGGCGCCGACGTCACGCGCGCGCGTCACGGCGAGTAAACGCGCGCGCGGCTCTCCGCGCTTTTTTTTTTTTCTTCCCTTTCTTTCTTCTCTCTCTCTCGCTGTGAGATGTGAACAGCTCGGCGAGACGGTAAAGACGGCGCGCGATGAATTTTGCTCGATCGAACTTTCCGAAAGGTCACGCGTGGGCTGTCATTTCTGATTCGCAAGGTCGTCGTCCTCTCTCTTTCTCCCACCTTTCGTTCACGAGTTTATTATTTCCGTCCGTTTTTTCCTATTTATCCGCTTTCTTCTATTTATTGTTGCTTCTACGCGCCCGCGCGCGCACCTTTTGTCGTATCTCTCGACTCTTCTATCTCGAGATCCGCTTAATTCCGTCTCCTTTCCGCTCGAGGCGACGCGCGAGTGGGCGCGAGCGCGACGGAAGGCGAAAATCGTGACGCGAATGCGGAGCACGCAGCACGAGAAACGACTCTATTATTCGCTCGCGTATAATCCCTCCTCCCCCGATAGCGAGGATCGATGCGTTTCTTCGCGCGCACGATTTATCGTTTTCTGATGACGTGGAAGTCACATCTGTCCGGGGCTCTCGTTAAAAACGAAATCCGCGGGGATCAAAGTTTACCCGTGACGTGATCAGTCGATGATCCCCGTCGCGGCTCAATTTCCGTCAATTTCCAGATTAACCGGTCGCGGCGAAAGAATGTAAAACGCGGATAATCGCAGTCCGATGGATTTTACGCCTGGCATTGTGCAATCGGGTGTAATATCTCGACGGTATTATATGCGTTCGTAATAATAGATTTATCTGATATATTCGAGATTTCTTCTTGCAAAATCTGTACCTACGTTCTTTTTCTTTTTAGAACGCAGCACTACATTTTCGCCCCTCTTTTTACCTCTCGTAATTGTGTGCTTTACAAAAAGGCAGTTCCACTCTTTTCTAAACTATTGATTATATTATCCGAGCTTTTACGCCAAATTGTATTATTCATTTGTATTGTGTCCTACCGCATCGACGCAGAATTCCCTGGAAAATCAATGGTATTCCCTGCACGGCTGGATTTTTACGTTGTATTTTGTCAGTCTTTAAATATAATACTACTCCATCCTTAGCTCGAAGTTAGTAATCGATCGGAATTTCCTGGAGTTCTCACGCGACTTCTATACTCGCAATTTGTAACACAACTATGACATTTACGTGTTGTGTGTAATCGTTAAATCAGTGATTTCAAGAGCGCACGTGTTTTTTATGGAACATGCTGGATTGATAATTAATTTTCAAACTATAATATTAACAATTGCCTGCGTCACTTACTTAGAGGATCCAAGAATATATTCTTAAAAGTCGAGTTAAGAGAACCATTATATTAAAGATTTTTATGTAAATGTGTGTTTTTAGTATTATATAAATATAATGTATCAGAAATTTTTAACAAACTATCTTTCATCTTCGAGTCACAGTTTCACGAGAATCTCGATTTTCTTAATAAAGGCAAGTTTAATACGTATAATATACATCATATCTACGTTTGGAATACTGCCAACTCAACAATTAATAATGCATGCATTGTCAGCAATATTAATAGTAATTTATATTGCACTGTTAAATCGATCTCTCAGCAAAATATTTGTAAGTTTTCAAATTAGAAGAAATGTATACAAAAATTTTTTTTATTATAATATTAAAAGTCAGGGAAAATTATGAAATCTGGAAATCAAGGAAGAGTTACTTATGGAATTTTAGAATAAAAAATTTTCGACAACCTTCGAATCTCTGTATACGTCACAATTTTTAGATATTTTAGCAAAATTGTTCTGTCCGTGTAAAATTAAGTTCAGAATGATTTTGATGTCTGTTTAATAGTGGGAGAAACATCCTTCTCTTTTTTAACTGCTTGTAAAATTTATTAATCCCTCTTCATGACAAATCGATTCGAAATCGATCAAAGCGTCAGTAATAGATAGACGAAGGACAGCACGAAATGAAAGATAGCCAGAGGTATAGGAAGTCTTCACCATAATGTTTCTCGAGTAACCGCTTCTCTCGTCGGACGGTGTCGTCATATACCGATCGTCAAAATCAAGGGCAAAGCCGTTTATTCACGGTGTGATTGAGAAATCACAAGGGAAACCTTCTCCGGTCCATTTTCAAGAGTCGATCGGAAATCTGTCTTGCGCGGGCGCGATTGCTCGATCGCTTATTGTACAAGAGTTGAATTACGTCATTGTCGTAATACACGTCGAGACCGAGCGGAGTTAGATGCACGAGACACTTTTGGAGTGTCACCTATAGTCTGAAATTGATCAATTTCCCGAGTTGTTACGGAGCGGCGCAAACGTCCTCGTGTCACCGTTAAATGACACTCGATTCGTCGTCGGTGTCTCGTTTCAAACGCGAATGCGATTATGCAAAATTACACGCGAATAAACGCTCCCGTAATAACATTCGAGGATTTTGCAAAGCGAAAGTAAATAACTTGGAAATTTCAAAGCGAATCAATTGACATTCGATATATCTGGATTTTGTCATTAGCGTCGACCTGCGTAATCGGGAATTATTTCCCATTTTAATAAACCGACAAGTCAATTATTATACATCGCAAAGTAACGTCGATAAATTAAAACTTTTAATTCGTAGTCACACACACAAATAAATTGTACGTTTAGAATCTTTTTTTTACTTTACGTCGTACCGAAACTTTTTACCAATGTAATTTAGGCTGCTTCTCTTATAGAGGCACACTTGACGTCACTCGATCCTTCTTAGCATTCAATGAATAACAAAGATAGAACTTGTGTGTTGACTGTATCGCTTAAAAGGAAAGCAGCCTTAATTCCAATCTTGATTCCACTAACTCTTTATATCTTCTTCCTCGTCTTCTTCTGGTTCTAAAGATTAGAAAAAGTTGAAGAGAGCTAGTTAAACCGAGATTACAGTTATTCTACATTGGTAGAAGGGTACATGATTGAAGAAAATTCTAAAACGTAGTCGTACACGTTGCTCAATGTTTTGTGGAGATCGCGTGACAAGTCGAGAACGTTGTCCGTCATGTTCGCCTGGCTCTTATACGACTCGTGTAACTTGCTAGGATTCTTATCTTGACTTGTCTTCTCAACAACGTTAACAACTAAACGTAAATATGTAAAGGATGCGTTTACGAAAAATTTGATCGATAATACTAGGTATGTTTGAGAAACATACTCCCACGCCGTTAACGGCGATCAATAACATTCTCAGCGTTCTTTGTGCTCCATTTTTCCGAGATTGGACCTTTTATTTCGAGTAAGTCTCCTCGTATTATCAGGGCATCGAGCGATTCGTGAAGATATATGGATAATAATAAAGATATCGAGACGTCAATGACGAAGAATCAATCTCTCTGGATTATATTTTGATGACAGATCATTATAATTATCTGTCTGTCAACTATTATCATTTGTAGGATAAAGTTCTTTTGCGTCTTCATCTTTCACGACAGGCTATCCGTAAATGTATAAAGTCTACTTCGTAGAAAGATGATACAACTAATATATAGTCACTTACAAGAGTAACGATATTATATAAAGTCACGGAAAACCCATTTCCGTTCTGTAAAAGATTTTAGTGTAGACTTTTCTGCTTCGGGTGGAAAGATCGAGGGTGAATTACGATTGATTGAAGATTCGGCATGCAATGACGGATTGTATCGATTCAATAAGAACGACACTATTATTATCCGATCGAATTCCGTGTATATTCATAGAATATTACTTGCTACTGTGACATATCATCTCGTTGAGTATGTGGGTGTCAGGGTCGAACTTGATATTACGGTGAGCTAAAGACAGCAAGAAAAGAAGTAACGTTCTTCAATAATTAACAGTGAAGTCTATCACAAGACACAAAAGTTTTGTTTTTATTTATTTTAGTAATTAATTGTTTGTTCTAATCTTTATAATTATTCCTGATGTTGCTTAAAACTCTTTAACAATATAAAACTCTTTAAGATATTTAAAAAATTATTTTCCTTGTTTTTTTTTTAACTTGTGATTGAAACATATGAATCCTGATGACCCTGACACTTTTTATAATTTTTAAATTGTCATTATCTGCGATAAGTTTATGTTCCTCAATTTTAATTCTTTTTCACAGTTTTAAACAATTCTTTAAAAAATAAAACAAAAATAAAAATTATAGTAGATCCCGCGAGAATTCACATCGTTTCCCTTTATTTAAAAAATTACATAATTACAAAAAAAATTTGATTTTCGGATTATTATTAGTAAATTAATTAAAGATTATTCTATTAATCATAGAAAATAATGTAACTTAACTTTACAGTCTATTCGTCCACCAAATAACATTTGTATCATCTTTGAAGTTTTCAAAGAATTAATACTTTCTACAATGACACAAAAAAAATAAAATATTCTGATTGCGCCATTTTTTAAAATAAGAAAGTCTTTTAGAGAATATTTAAAGTTAAGATAATTTTAATGATCAAAGTTTGAAGAAGAAATTATTTTATTCGACTCCTGACCGAGGTAATATTTTTCGTAATAAAAAGTTATTTCCAGATTTAGTATTTTCAGATTTTAACATATCGGTATAAGAGAGATGCAATAATTAAAAAAGAGCAATAATTAATTATTAAATTGTTAATCAATTTAATTCGTGATAGTATTATATTACGGTAGTCTACTAGAGTTGCGTTTCAAGATCGACAATTGTTCGGCACGCAGTTTGGAAAGTCTACACACATATTACTATCAGTTTTTGAACATGGCCGGAGACAATACCGCGTCTTCTGATATAAATTCACGCGAAATTATATACATATATAAGTAACTAAGATCCAAGCTAGACTGTTATAGGTTTCGTATTTGTATTAGTTATGTTCGTACATTGACGGTCTTTAGATTTGAATATTTTTTATAAATTATTTTATTTTTTTAATTTTATCATGCTAGCTAACTATAAGATAAATATAAACTCTTGATAATATTTCGAATTATTTTTTGTTTAAACTTTAAAAAAGTTTTTTTAAGACTTGTAAAACAAAATTGATCATGTTTTTGAGATTATATTATTTTTACTGATATTCATTTAATTAGTTGTTAATTTTTTGTTAATTAAAAATTTTCTTTTTTCTGAAAAATTTATTTTTTTAAGTATTACTTTTAGAAAATAGAAAATAATGTTTTTTTTAGTGTAAAAAAAATGTATTTTTTTTCTGTTACGAGTTAATTATTTATTTTTTTTCCTTCGACTTCATCATAATTATGTCTAATATTGCATGTACCTTGAAAGTCTTCCCTTTGGGTATCGTAGTGAATTTTAGCGAAATAGAGTTACGAGAAATTCTTATTAGCCCGCTTCAGGCTTCAGGTACCTGCGTCTGCCAATTAAAGTAGTAGTAATTTTAGATATAATACGCCAGAGAGACGCTTGCCGCGTCAGTGTCTGCATCATTTACGCAGATAACGATGCTGTGTTAACGATTGTAGACGATGATTTCACTTTTCGCCCACGCACTACGATCCCAATTAGTATCTCTGTTGCTGCTGCGCGACTTTACATCTGCGACTCGTAAATAAAGGGCCGATTTACCAATTATCTATACAGCTCTCTTTACAGTGGTGGCACTTTGTGGAAACTTCGCACTCCCGCTGCGATGAAAATACATATATCATGCGAAGCATCCATCTGACCTGCTAAAAATAGCGCGATTACCCGCGCCTTTTCTGTTTCGTTCAAATAACAGACGTTATTTTTTTTTAATGCTGATAAATGGTTATATAAAGAAATATGAATGTCACGACAGCTTCCGTGTATGATTGACGATAAAATACACCTAAAGCTAATTACAAAATGTTTTTCCTCAAGAAATGTCATAATGTTAATCCATCATTAACTATATTAAATAGATATGACATCAGAAAAAGAACGAGGAGCTACATGCAACTTCTTACGTATACGTTGAGATAGATAAACCCATCTCGATAAAAAAAAATCTTGTAAGAAGAAGATCTCAAGAGTATTAATTTTTAATTCGTGAATAATTAATTATAAGTGCGACGTGGAAAGAAATGTATTTATATCGACGTGGAGAAAAAAAACTATGTATTGCCGGACTTGGTTTTCATTCGACGTAGCCTCCGACGTCATAATCCGATATACATATAGTTGTCGAGTGACGTGTCGGAGCCTTAATATTCCTAAAAGATGATCCTCTGTCCCTGATCGAAAGCGGATCTCAATTTGGTCCCTACATCGCCCAGTAAATGACGTGCAATATCGATGAGGTGGGTGCATACGATGACGTCCAATCCTTCTAGCTGAATTTTAGCTGATCAGCAGATTGCTTTATTCCGATAAGCTTTTGTGATCAGTTTCCATCGGTGATACACACATCTTCCAATCTTTTCACATGGAAGGAATCATTTTGCTGAAGTAAACATTTTTTTATATATAGCTACAGATTTGAAAATAATTTTGTTGAATCATCAAATAATTATGTAGGATAATGTACTTACCATAAAAATAACTATGTAGAAATCTTAAGCATGATGAGCAATGTTGTAAAAAGTTTTGATATTCTCTCTCTATAGTAATCAATTCCTACATAATTATCTTAGTCCATTAAAATTATTTTCAGATTTTGTAATTAGATAAATTTTTAGATATTTCAGCAAAACCATTCTTTCTGTACAGGTATCATAGAAGCATTTATTTGTGAAGGTTACTACGATCTAAAAATTTTCAATCTACGTCTGATTCCAAATAATGTGGCAAAAATAAAATTTACCTCAGAGATATTCGGAGAGAAGTTTCAGATATTTAAAAAATTTCACGCGAATTTTTCAAGGCCTCTTACTCGCTTTAAATAGAAAAGAGCGTGTTTCCATCGGTTTTTCTATTTTATCGATGGAAACTGTAAAATTTTATATTTATTCATACAATGCTTTCTCACGGTTTGCGCTTATTGGCCTGTTAAAATGTTATTTAGAACATTTTTTTGGCGTAATAATTTATTCATTCTTTTGCGAAACAATTTTAGACTATTACTGTTTTTTTGGATTAATACTTTTATGTTGAAAGTTCTGAATAATTCTGACATAATAGGTATTCATATAGAAATCTACGTAATCGCGTAAGATCTATTGAAGTAGTGAACCGAGACCTCGCATAAATAGGCGTATCTTTGTGTATATCGCTGTATTATTTATAATTTTAAATAACGGAAGTATTATCGTGTTTCTGATTATATAAAGTTCGTTACAATGTCAAAGCGAAGCGTCGATTTGCGTTAGAGATTTTTCTTTGTGATATGTGTGTCTTCTCGATTTTTTTTAAATATTCGTCTGTTTCATCGAACATTTGTGAATATAAGCATGTTTATACTTCCAACTCTGGTTAATATGTATATATTAATCCGCAGAAATGTGTATCCTGCATTAAGATATTACATTCTTTTTTGCGTAGAACATATACAAAATTATATTTTGTCCCGCATTTTTTCCAATATTTTAAAAATACACAGAAATAATAGTTGTTTTGTTGAAATATCTAAAAATGTAGTTAGATACAGATCTGCAAATTATTTTGTGGAATTACAAAAAAAATTATGTAAGATACTTGAACATAACAAATAATATCTCAAAAAGTTATAATATTCTAGTACGTAATTATTTTGAGGGATTAACAAAATGATTTTTAGATCTCTCTCTCTCTCTCTCTCTCTATAAATTTTTAAATATATGTACTTCAGTAAAACTATTCTTTCTATACAGACATTTATCTCAGAAATATATTATAGAGGTATTGTGTTTTTGACAGATTATTGATCGTTCGCTACATAGTACAGAAAGAATAATTTTGCTGAAGTATCTAAAAATTTAGCTAGATACAGATTTTTGAAGATAATTTTATTAGACCATCAAAATAATAATATAGGACGTTTATTGTAACTTGTTATTGGAATGTCAATTTTGCAACGTTGTTTGAAATCATGCTTGAAATCTTATGTAATATTTTCATAGTCGAACAAAATTTTTTTAAGATCTGTTAAGATTACTTAGGTAAATTTGTAAATACTTAAAGAAAACATTCTTTTATGTATAACTCTTATTATGTAACAGATGTAAAACTAAAATTGTTGTATAAGAATAACAGCTTTTTAAACATTTGAAAACTGTGATTTAAAAAATCATCTGTAGAATTTGTATAACAAAATGCACCACCAAGGAACGAGTGTTTTTTTCTAATTGAACACTCTGTATAGTGAATCATTATTCTCAAAGTAATTATCTTTTTTTATATAACTGTTTCTTTGCTCTTCATGATAAGGAAAACTTTTAATAGTTTCATTTAGAATTGTAAGTCGAGACGTCGGAAGATCGCTCTGAGGAAATTCGCTAGAGACGAAGATCAAAGAAGTGATTATCTTATCGTTCATTGCCTTCTGGATTTGTCAAGTCGTTATCTTGATATGGATTTATTTAGCTCTTTTGTTTATGTTATTCAATTTCGTATCTTTTCCTTCTGCCACAGAACTCAGGGATTTGCGTCTCCGGCATTTGTAGGTTCGACATTGTAAACAGTTTTATCATGTGCAATCGGGAGCTTTGGGTGGGTGTATGAATCATGAATGAGTATAAAGCACCTACGCGATTGTATATACATACCGTGCTTGTATTCTCTCGACATGTGTTGTGTTACGACAGATATTATCTTCCAAGGTTGGACGCGCAGTTTACGGAAATGCATTCCACGTTTTCACGGGATTAAATCAGCGACGTGAAGATACATATGTAAAGTTTGAAATTTAAAAACAAACCCTGAAAAAACCTAATCTCTCTGCGGAGTATTTACGTCACGATTCGGGTAAAATACCACTCTCCCTTGTTTTTCAATAAATTTAATTAAATGTAAATATTTAATTAATTATTGATAAATATTTATATATCGTGTATTTTTATATAAATATTTCCATGAAAATATTTTATTTTTTTCCTAATAAAACTACTTAATCTTCCTGATTCTACACGATGATTTGCATTTAATCGCGATTTATTAGTTATTGTCGTAATCCATCATTGGCTGTCGTTATAGTCTATTATTTCGTAGCCTATTATTTTACAGTCTATCATTGAAATATCGTTTTTCTGCAGTGGTGTTAATATGAATACATTAAATTTGTGGAAACAGTACACTGTGATTTAAGATCTTGATGTTGTCTATTCTGTATTATTAAATCGATCGCGATCTATTTATGATATACCGATCACTTTTGTAGATTATTGTTGGCAGCAGGAACAAATGTAAAAAATTCGAAACATACATCAATTAAAATTATTTTATACAGTTAATTAGATCTCTTGGTCGCATCTGAATATTTATAATATTTACAAATATTTAAATATTCTCAGTTAAATTGCTTCATTTTGAAGTTCTTTATGGCGAATATATTTAAATATATTCTATGCATATTCCACGCACACATTTATTTTATTCACCGAATTATTCATCTTTAATTTTGTGTTCTTTAAAAAGTATTTTTAATATTTTTGTCCAGATGACTTTCCGAAACAAGCTTTTGTTCTCCATAGAAAAATTCGCGCTGAAGTCCATCGTGGCTTCCGGGAAGTATCTTTTGTTCTCGCGTAGAAAAGAAACGGACCAAGATTTTCCCACGGGTTGTGCGTATCGTGGCACATTTGCAAGCCGAACTCGCGACGTTGCGTTTATCTGATTCGTCCAGGTTTCCAACGTCGTGTAGATTTCCAACGATAGGAGTGCTTTGTAATATGGTGAAAACGTGCGATTATAGGTGAAGCTGCGCAAAGTGCTGCCCAACGACAACGGCGGCATTGGCGGCAGTTCCTCGCGGCAGCGGTTGTTCCTCGCTGCGGCAGCAGATTGCCTCGCTACTTCCGGCTATGCGTCGCGCAAGCTTCGATATCGAAGGAAGCTTACACGTGCAAAAGGTATCATTTACTGATCTCGTGCTCGCAACAACTAATCCAGTCGATCTGAACTAACCTATGTGCGCTAACTAATTTGACTAATTTTTCTTGGCCTTCGCGAGTTATTTTGCGACGTACAACACTCTGCGGGTTCCGGAAACAATTCCTATGGCGGAATCGGCTCACCTTGGAGGCTGACAAGTGAACCTAATTGAAGCGTGATTTAATCCGGGAATTGTCACTGATTTCTTTTTATATGGACGACGTCGGGCATGTTTTTATACTTCAATTAGAATGACTAATATCAATATATATATTGCGTATTACACATTATTAACAATGTACCATATTATGTATTGACTGTTTTCTGATTTATTTGTATTTTATTTAAGATATCATGGATGTGGATTTAATTACAATTTCTTGAAAAGAGTAAATAGAAATGAAATAAATATTATTATAAGTAGAGTATGTTGAATAATATTGTATTATAACAGTATTTATAAAAAAAAAAGAAAGTTTTTCATTAATACGACGCAATTTTTATTTCAAATTTTTTATGGAATAGCATATTTTAAATGTTCATAAAAAATAGTTATTAAAAAGGAAAGAAAATATATGTTAAATAATATCCATACGAAATAATATTTTAAAATTCGCATTTTTTTTGCCGCTATGGAAGTAAAAACATTCACTGTGACTATTTCTAGACTACTCTATTAAAAATGTATTACACTCATTTTACAACTGTGTTAATATTTATATTTTAAAAAAACTACGTACACATAAAAATATAAAACAATATTGTGTCTTTATAAATATTTTATTTTTATTAAATAATTTTTGCAGTTTATTTATTTTGTTATTTTTTATTACTATAATTTAAAAAACAATGACAGAAATTTTGATTTTTATATAAAAATGAAGTATTTAAAATAATTTATGCAAAATTTTATTGCGATGCAGAGATTGGTTATTTTGTAAATAAATAAATAAATTTTATTCATTCACAGAACTAATTTGTGCTTTGCAATGAAAATTTACATAAATTACCTTGATTATTTAAAATCAATATATTTCTATTTTACAGCACAGATAAAAACAATATTGTTTCCTATTGAAATAATTTTTAACCTAGATTTTTAATTGCCGCTAAATTTTTTGAATTATTTTTAAATGTGATCCAGAACAATCCGTATTCATTATTTTGAAAGCATGAATAATCATTGTTAAGAAGCGACATTAAACGAGACGCAATATGCCCAGCAAACTTTCAACTATATGTGTATCAACGGTGTACAAACACGGTGTGTTTAATTATTTGGAAATGCTATACAAATAAGCTGAATATTAACGCGCGATACATTCGTGTTGGAATTATCTTCTGCAGCGCTCGGTGTTTTCGCCAACCATAATAATAATCTTTGTAGGGCAAATTAAAATAGCGAAAACGAGATACGGCGAGTTTCGAGATAAAACGAAAGCCCGCGATGACGGTTTATCGATTTTCACCCGCGATGCGATATATCTACGTTATTTACTTCGCGAAATTTCTATTCCGTCATGCGCATTCTCAAAGACGTACTTACTGTACATGTTTTAATCACAGTCGTTGTATCTAGTCGAGTCGCAGCGCGTTCTTCCGAGCAATTAACTTGATCCTCGTGAATTGGCTGCATTTTTTTGGATCGATCGGAAACTTCGCGAAGCTCATTTTGCCTCACCTTATCGCTATGTAATATATTGCCTTTATTATTCAAAATACGTCACTAACAGCATGCTAAAGTAATGGACGAAGATAAGAGTGAACTAAAATGCATGTTGCAGCTCGAGAAAAGCAGCTAACAACGTTGTTAATCCGCTTGTAGTCGTCACATTTTTTGCAAATGTGGCAAGCAGGCTTTATTTAAATTCGCTTTTGCAGCTTGTGGTTACTAGCACGGAAAGACTTTGCACTGGAAAAAAAAACATATTCGAATCGCCTGTATTGAAATATTCCGCATATCGATGATGTAAATTACGGTTAAGGTATTAAGATATATGTATATTACATACGTTATCGTATCGTGGAAATTAATGCAACAGTAATATACCGTCCGAAATATTTTTATTTCTCCGTAGCGCTAACGGTGAGTCTATTGGACCCACTAATTATATAAATCTCTTTAAAAATATATATATTAAATTATTCCTTATCTCTTACATCTGTAAATTTGGATTATTCTTATATATATATTAAATTATATATTAACCTAACTTACTAATTCTTTTTTACGTGCCATTTTGAGATTCCTTGAAATTACTTAGGTCCTTTTAATTAACATACAATGGTTGTTAAAAGTTCCGGCCAATGAATAATTTTGTTGTACTCTTCAAATAAAGAATTTTTATAAGTAATATTTAATATATATACAATAAATATTTAATATAATAATATTTGAAATCGTGTTTTTTTAAGTTGTTTATAACAATTTTATTGTTACTTATAATATAAACTGAAAAACAGATTGATGTAAAAATTATCGCAAAATTATATGTTGGCCGCAAACTTTTAAACTTTTATAAATTAAATGAATTTTACAGACCCAGCTTCAGTAAATGTGTTTTAGATTTTGGCGTTAGCTCCAAAAGGTTAAGGCAATAAATACAAAGAACACGTCAATATTTATATTTTTAGATTTATATATGTAATAGTAGATACCTCAAAATTACTGCTTCCTCTTTCACACACGTTTAAAAATCTCTTCAACGGATTTGAAAATAATTGCTCGAGATATTAATAGTTCCTGCCATAAAACTACAAATTTTGAAATGTTTTTAAATATCAAGCTTTTAAAGGGCACTAACAGACATTTTATTTTCCAATCTCGAATAAATTTTGAGCAAAATTTATCAAAGCTTTTAATATTGAAAAAAAAAATGAGAAAACAGAGGAGATGACGTTTGATCAAATTTGCTGCGAGACTAAAAAAATCGTTTTTGAGGTAATCGATGCTCATGGATGAGAGTCGTCGATATACCCATTTTCTTGTCAACTGTGTGTGCGTAAGCGATTAGACGCCAGTATTTCGGACTCTTCCTCTATCGATCTCCTTTTCGAAGCGGCAGTTTCGCGCGGCGTATGCCACGATCGTCTTCGCGAGCCACGGTCGACGCGATGATTATCGCAAGGTACATGACTCCGGAATCTTGTAGATATAGGACACGAACCATATAAACCTCCCGAAGCGACTGATAATGTTTTCGATGGCGGTTCGCCGCGCCGACTTACGAAGAACGTGACACTTTAGATTACGGCCGTATACAGACTCGTCAGCAAGGAAACCTTTCAGATCGCTAGAGAGAGGCATCTAGGTAAGTGCTCGTAGGAAATCAGTCCTCAACTCCGCGAAACGAGGAGTCTCGCGTAGAGTCATCGCGTTTATCGATTTTTTTTTTTTCATAAAAGCTTCCTTTTTATTTAATTCTCACTTATTAAAGTTTCGCGTTTATTAAAGTTAATTCTCACTTAGAGTGAGAATTTAAATATACTATTCGGTCTTGTTAGTTATTTCGGTCTAATTTTGATATTGCCTTTATCTCGTACTTTCTAAATTATTTTGGAGTGGAATCTCACTCTAAAGAGTAAAATTGAGCTAGTCTTGAAAAAGAGTGATTCAATTTTCATTCAATATTTACTATGAATACATTGGACCATTCGATTGACCAATCGGAAAAAAAAAACTTTACGGATTGATCAATCGAAAAATGCTTCAAAGTATTTGTAGTGTCGCGTTATATCTCAGTATGTATACATTTATACAGCGCTGGTTATGAAAGTCATTTATGGAAACGGAATTAATATCGCGGAAATCCTCCCTCAGAGCAACGAGAAGATAAACTGTTAGTTTCGTGATAGGCATTGAAACAATTGGGGTCTGACGAGTGTAGGTTTTGATCTTTTTTTATACAGAGTTAAATACCGCATAGAGATGCTGCGATGTATCTTTCATTGTTCGGTGTGTACAATACGCATAAAAAGACCTCTATATTTTCGAACCGCGCAACACTGCTCTCTCACGATCGATCTCGCGTGTAACTGTGCAGTAAGGTGCAAAGTATAATTAAAATGTCACGATGTAATTAACGAGTTAAACTATTGCTGTGACATAGATATGAACTGTAATATGTACAATACAACAAAAAATTGATGATGATGCTAAATTAGATATATAGCGCTTTTCAGTGCGTATATATCACGTTTGCTCTCATAATTTTTTTTTTTTGCTAAAATAATTTATATAATTATTAAAGGCGCAAGTTGTGTGTAAAAGCGATCTTGGTATCCTCATGGCTTTTACCCTGCAAAGCTGACGGTGAATTTATTGAATACACTCCATTATATTCTTTATGTTACGCATCTGCAAATTCTAATTAATTGTATGTTCAAATAAGCTTAGTTTGTACACATTTGAGTTGTGTATAATTTTGGCTTATTGGAGTACCTTTCAAGTACCTAATATAAATTAAATTGGTTTCACAGACTCTGTGTCCGTAACTGTGTTACAGATTTTGACGTCAGCTCCGAAGGGTTAATTATTCGAAGGCTAAAATTTATTCGATACGACCGATAATAATAATCAAGCCTTGGAAGTATCAATTAATTCAGGAATTATATATTTTTAATTAACTGCATGCCTTTACATTTCAACATAAATTCATGTTTATAATCCTATGACGTATATCAGTGAATATATAGTCGAATTTTCTGTGTTATACTTATTGCTATAAATCTCACTCAGCTGACTTTATTATCATATCTCGAAGCTTTTGAAAGCCTTTCCGAACCGCAGGCTGCTATATTCTGTAAAATTTGATTAATAATTCTAGGTCACTGAAACTTAATTAGTAACCTTATTAATTCTCAATTTGCAACGTTGATACATGAGACTATTATAGCTATTCTGCTTCTTTTCTTTCCTTTTTAACACATTAAGTGTTATTTACAATTTCTTAGTTATATTAAGATGTCGATTGAATCATGAATATCTTTATCTTCTTCGAACTAAAGTATATTTACTTATTAATGAGGAGAAAGATAACAATGTTAAAAATTAAGAATTACAATTCTAATCGCGTTTATTAAAGTTACATAACTTACGTAAGACAATAGATTGAATAGAATATTTAAAAAATCTGCACTATATATACTATACATATTTATACAGAAAATTAAGTCCGGGTAAAATATATTAATTACTTTTCGCATATGATGTGGTTTATGATATGATAACAAAAGATGTCGTAGGCATGAAGCTATAACATCTTTTGTTTACTATACGCTAGATATTATATGTGAAAATTGATTCATTTAATCGGGATTCAATTTTCCATACAATTAATGCGTTTTGCATTAAAATATAATCGATAAAAGACTATAAGAAGACTAATAAAAATAATCGAATAAAGCTTTATCGAAGCTTTTTTGAATAGTAGCAGGTTTTTTTTTTTTTTTTTTTTGCTAAATTGAAGCATTGCGGAGTGGCGTTCGAAACGCGGAGCGTTGGTTTTTGTGGAGCGTCGAACACAAACACAGGATTTGGCGTATCTTTACAGTGCTGAGGATGCTGACGCCGAGGAGAACGGAGGTGGGCCCCGAAGAAATCGGGGACGGACCCGGTGACAAGGGTACGAGCAGCTCGACGAGCGGCTCGGTCACACCAGGCGGTTCCTACGAGAACGGCGACAACTCGAAGGAGTTTCTGTCGACCGGAAGGACCGGCAGAAGGAATGCGTTACCGAACATCCTTGGCCGACACGCCGAGACTGGCCTTTCCGATCTATCCGATCGTTTCGAGGAACTGTCCACTCACACAGGTATATCACAATCAACTTTATTCTTTCTTCATTTATGATGGCCGTGAACAGAGGAATTGTAAATAATAAATAGCAATTAATACAAGTATTTTTTCTTCGCCTTGTTCGGACTGTCTGGTCCGGGCATGTATTCTTCACTGATTTACCGATAAAAGAACATTTACTGATAAAAAAAATATGATGGTTAATGTCGAAAAATATTTTGACATTTCAACAATTAGTTTGAGCATATTACACAATTCTTTTGATATCTAACAAAATTATTTTCAGTTATGTATCTATATATATATGAAAAGAACGCTGAAGTACCTAAAATATAACTAAATATAGAAAAATAATTTTATTTGGTTAAAAAATATAATAAGCAATGCTGTAAAAAAGATTTTGACATGCTAACAATCAGCTTGAACTTTACATAATTATTTTGATGATCTTACAAAATTATTTTCAGATTTACATTTAGCTAAATTTTTGATACTGCAGCAAAACGGTTCATTCTACGTAGTTGAATTTTTAGATATTTCAGTAAAACCGTTTTTTTTTTTTTCTTCAAGCAGAGTATTATAAAACAAAGCTTGGCATTTTTATCCTGGAGAAAGAAATGTTATTTTGCTCTTTTTAGTATTATAGTTTCAATGGCCGTGCAATGTTATCCTTTTGAAAGGGAACCCGGATTGCTTAAGGCCTCATGTGTTACAGATCATTCTACCAAAAGCGGGCAGGATCCGAATATACCGAGCACCTCGAAACAGCACGGCTGACATGCCCGTGAGGCTTCGTAGCGGATCTTGCTGTCGCGACACACTGGGCCTTCCCATCACCGATGACGATGACGACGAGAGTGCAATAGAAGCATATATCGTTTCTGTGAACAAAATCCTCGAACACTTTTTGGCTCACGTTACTAACGCGATAGAATGTATCGATGGTACAACTGACACGTATAAACGACTTGAATACGACGTTTTGTTATGTCTGATAGGGAATGTTAGAATAATAGTACGAGAAATTGACAGAGTTTGGACTCAAAGCAAACCGAGGGGGGTTCATGAAGGTATCAATTCAAGAAATCCTAAAATTGTAAATTGTAAGATTTGCTCTCAACTTTGTAGGCATTATCTTACAAATTATGAATTTAACTTGTTTGTATGTACAATGAATTTTTCGAATAGCACTCAAAGGGAATCAATGACTTTTTGCCGTTAAGGTAAGATTGACTCGCTACTCAAATAAAAAATACCAACAGAATTAGTTTTGTCAGATAAAAAAAGTCCAATAGCTTACGTGAAACGTTATAGTGCACGTATATACTTTGACTCATTATCGTTGGAACGAGAGCAGATAAATAAATATTGAATTTGTAAATTGTAATTTTATTTCTTTTTCTTTTATTGTTACTTATGAAACTTGAGTTAAAAAGTTAAATTTGAGGAGTGTTTTTCAGCATTTTCTATATTAAATAATTGACGATTTATGGCATTTCTGTTAGGATTGTAGCATATTCTGTATTAAAACTGGCAAAGTACATATTGAAGCAGTTAAATTTACTAAATGTGATGTGATATTTGGCTCGACTCTAGCTTTGTTAATAACGCTGTTTTAAAAATAAAAGGTTATGTGTGCCTGTATGCGTGTGTGTGAGTGCGATATGTATTTTTAATAAAATTTCTACAAAAGCCCTGTTTATTTTATATTATGCAACTATTAATTAAAATATTACGAGAAAGGAGCCAATGAAAAACGTGCCATCAAGAAAACTCGTTAAATCAATTTAGAATTTTCCACTTTTTGTGCTGTTGTTAAATTTTACTAGTTTCCTACGTGCATAGGGAAACTAATTGTACGCTTTTAATATACAAGAGCGGCATTGATATTAATGCACTGTGTATCCGTGATAAAAATACGAGTATTATTTAAATTATATATCGTAGAATTACTGTATCTCTCTTAAAAATCGCGTACTTTAATGTGACGACGCTGCAACATTTATAATATAAAAGAGTATATTCTACATCTTGTTAAATTCCAGATCCTTAACTCCAGCCCGCAATTTCAAATTGATCGATCAATGCAATATACGATCTAGGTTGCAGTAAACGATGGCCTCATACGAGATTTTCGCCAACGAAATGTCGACTTGAAGAATCTATCTAAAAATAAGTCAGATTCGATGCGACTGAAATTTTACGCGCTTACGACGTAACGCTCGTCCTTTTCTTCGTCGTTTAACTTTTGTTGAATTTCTAGACTCTAGAGAAAATAAATTCGAGAGAGAAGTTTCTTCGATACTGTTTTGAGAAAAGCGCGGATCAATACCTCGAGCGAAATTAACTTCAAAGCTTTATGGCTGTAATTTCTCCTCCAAACATTTATCGCGGAAATGTAAATTGCTTTCGCGACGTTTAAATTACGAGCTGCAGTATCGTGGCGTAATTTTATTAAACGTTACGTTGTTTACCTAGATCCCTCCGTTACCGTGTGATTATCTCTTCTCATTAACGTTGTACAGCAACGCGGCGGCAACGCGCGAAGTACTGAGATATCTGGTCCATTTTTTCAGCTGAACTTCTCGCACCGTTCATCTTTCTTCCTTTTCTATCTCTAACACGGAGAGAAAAAGAGGAAAGATGAATGGTGCAAGCTTAGCTGAAAAGAATAGACCTATTTTAGCGGCCGAAACGCCATTAGATGTTTGTACAGATGGAATAATAGCGTATAATTTAATAGCATACAGCGGATGTGTACATACATAAATAATTGCTCGAGAGCGATACAATTCACTTGATCGCGAGCTTTTCCTGGATTTTCACGAACATGCGTGTTGAGCATATAGTTAGTTAAGTTAATCAATAAGGTATATTTAACGTATAATTAATTCTGTATATAGGCGTATATAGACGTATATCGTGTAATCGCGCACACGCCCGTATTCTTGACGTACGTTTTACGCTAAACACGAGCCGTTCGATGTTCGTCGTCTCAAGCGTTTTTGCGTTTTTTTTTTTTTTGCGCTGGACAAACGAAAGTTAGAATTAGGAAATAAACTTGACGTTAAGTGTACGACGAGAATACGGTTCACGTTCCCCCTGCGTGACATAAGTAAACATTTTGCGTGTCCCTCGGCGATCACCGAGGACATTCGTCTTTACGTATTTTGAGGGAGGCGAACGAGCAAGGAAATATTCGTACAGCAGCCTTTGGCAGCCTATAATTACAACGCAAAACATTCTGGCGATAAGAATTGAACGATTTGTATCTTCATCAAATTTATGATTAATTTAGCAGCACAAATTTTCGCTCCCTCTATTTCGATCGTATTTCCCTTACAGAAAATTTGATGCTAGAAGATTGTGATCACAATTATTAATTACTGCTGTTCGGTGCTTTCAATACTCAAAATAAGTAATTTCTAGCATCAAAGTGCCAGTATATTAAACTGAATTTCTGTAAGGGTTGAGTACCGCTAAGTTCTCGATATTCCACGGAGACGTGTGATAAGCAACGATTGATAAATGATCTCTAATCAAATTCGCGTTGCGTTATCTAATCGTTCGATGCTTATAATTTAAGAATCGACCGCGCTTTTGTGCGACGATGAGTGGGTGGGGGGGAGGGTTCCAAGCATCGATAACGTGTTTTTCACCGGCGTACCTGCTTTTCGTAGTCAATAATGATAACCGCGCCGACCGATGATAACGGTCGACGTTGTAAACGCGTGTTTATACGATGAAAAAAAAAAAATGCGGATTCAAACAGACCCGATCCATTCGAACGATAGCCGATGTCCGCGATGAGTATTTCGACGCAAATGATTTCTGAGCACCGTCGACGATCACGGGGCGCGATAACGCGTAATCGCGCCCACGCGGTTGCGTCCCCGCTAACACACACCCGGTGTGTGCCGATACCGCTGCAATTATTATTAAAAAATAATAGAATCGATCGCGCGGGGCGCATGGAGCAGCGGTCGAATATTCCCCATGGCCTTTGTGCGTGAGCGCAGCGGGTATTTCCTGCGAGGGAAATTAAACTCGTATATGCGCGCGTGCGGAGAAGATCGATTGTAAAATGATGTGTACGTTACTTTTATCCGTGGGAACACAATACATTTTGATTCGTAAATGTGCAAACTCCTTATATCGCAACCCGACTCTCTCCCTGTTTCCGCAAGCCCGGAATCAGACTACGCATTGAAGAGATTGAGATTGAAGATTGATATTTGACCAATCAAAGTAACAGGAGCTAAAATTCCTTTATCCTTCCTGGTTAAATTTCAATCTTCGATGCGTAGTCTGTTTCCGGCCTATCACAGAAAGCATTTTGTCTCAAGATTGCGTTGGAATCAGCTCTTGTAATATCTCGGTGAAGTTGAAATTAAAAGTGCCTTTTAGACGTCACTTGAAATCTACACAAAAAAGATGAGAAAATAAGGCGAGTACCTACACTGTTAGATATTAAAGGAGCAATGGTAATCCAATTCCTCAAATAAAAAAGATAAAAATTTTTTATTTTAATGTCCGTGTCAAAATGTATAAATCAATCCTTTCTGTAGTTACATCAAAATAAATATTGTTCATGTTAACGTTATTAGTAAATAATAAATTAAATTTGAGTCAAATTGTATACATTTTTTAAATTAAATTAAATTGTTTGATTTCATTGTTTTAATTAAATTAATGACACATTGAGTAGAAGTAATGGCGACTATAGAAATAATTAAAAATTCAAATTGGACAAAATTTGATATAATAAATTTAACACTGTATCGTATTATATTGTACTGTGTCGTAAAAATATTTTTTATAAAATTTCTTTTTATAAAGAGTTTGACGTAAAACCGAAGAAAACTACCTCATGTATTGCAAACATAGCATAAATACAATTCCAAACACATTTATCTAAATTGAAATTGTGTTACGATAAATAAAGAATGATATTTCTGAAGCGGTAAAAAATTCCTGAAGCGAAGATAAAGGAGACAGAAGTTGAATAAGTTTTTTCCCCCCAAGGTGCGAATCGGTAATGGCGCGGTACATTTTAACGCGGTGACGACGGTCGACGTTATCGCGAGTTGCCCCCTCGAACGTAACAGCCATTAAACGACGAGGTGGTTCTCGCGGTAAGCGCGAATCTATCGGCTCTCACGTGCATAATTTATAAAGGGAGGATATTAAAGTAGGCCGCGGTTTGCGGGACGAACGACGAACCGCAGCATGCGCTTGCATGCGGAAAGTATGCGCGCATACTGTGCTACGCATCGGGGAGACGGTGGCAGGTGTGGCGGAACAATGGGAAAATTCCGTTTGCACAGCTTGTCAGAGGAAGACGAGACCATCCACGTGCGCATCGTCCGGGAAAATGCCCGTGAGGGGATAGAACAAAGACGGGCACGGATCTCTGCAAGTGTACGGGAGGAAGAAAGAAAGAGAGACAGAGAGAATATGCCGGGTGACCCATTTCAGTGACGAGAGCTCGACATCCTCCGCAAAATGCGGCAGCGAACAACTACCGCCGATACGCGGCTGCTGTTTCCGCACTTTAAATGTCTCGCCGCATAAAATGCACTCCGAAAAAAGGAAGAAGAAACGAATAGAATCTCAGTCGTCCCGAGGAATCTGTTTTGTATAAATAAAGTCTTCGTTGTGTCGTACAGCGTGAATCTTTACAGCTATTTCTTCAACTTTTACACGAATCGTCATTTTAATATATATGTATCTTTGTTGTGTTATAATCTATTTACTCATGGATGAGTATAGTTTGACTGTCAGTTGCCAAATTCGAACTGCAATCTATTTCTTTTTTTAAACTGTTATATTTTAATGAGTTTTCTCTTTCTTTTTCTTCTTTGTTATTCTATTTTCTTGTAGACGAATTGATAAAGATAGTTTTAATTGTTATTCCTCAGTAATATCGTAACGCAAACATTGTTTTATAATTATACCCTCAAATCTTCAAACGATCACATCTGATAATACGAAATGTAACAATTTTGTTGGCAGATCAAGATTTGCTGTGTATCAGTTGTTTAGAGATTTCAAGACCACGGTCGACATTTGCATTAACATCAAGCGCTTATCAGTTTTACGAGCCCCGACAAGTGAATCCTTGATAGCGAGAGTGAAAGGCATGATGGATGCATACTCCTATTTGTTGTATATAACAGGTCGTCAGAGGTATTAAGTAAACAACGTAAAAACTCGCGTTCCTACGTGTATGTATGTCTAATCCTAAGGGTTGACGTTTTCCGCGAAGCGACTATTATCACTCACGTTAGTTTTTATCGAACACTCGAGGCTGGCGCACGATTAACGCGTTTAATACGACTACTCGATATTTAATTGACTTGTCTCACATAGGTATTCAACAATTTAATATCCTCATTTTCATTTATGATTTCTACCTCATTTAGATGAGATTAAAATATTAAATTGTCAAAAAAATTCTGTAAAATTATCCTTCAAAAAAAAAATGATTTTTATATACAAATTTATTCAGAAACACTCAAGGAGAACAAGACAGTAAAAATAATAGTTTGACGTCATATTGACCAAATTTATGTCATTTTTTTGGTCGTGTTTTAGTCAATCTAATATTATTTTGACTTTCTTATTTTCTCCTTAAATTATTAATAACCGGTTTTTGAACGATGAATTCTAGAATCTTTTTTGACAACCCAATATAAATGCATTGTCTGTCTGCCGAATTAATTTTAAAAAATTTTAAAATTTTCTTTGGAAAACCTTTTCTCAAAAAATTCATACGAAAGTGTACATGTGAAACATCACACGTGTTCAATTTTGAGGAGGATTGCTGCATGGTATGCAAATCGTAAACCACAAGTGTTGAGTACCTTTTTGTTACATGTGACAATGAAGGTGCATGTCAGGTATGTCAAATCGCCGCACGCCGCCTTCTCACACAAGCACAAGAATCGCAATACCGCGCCGGAGACTGTTATTTCTCCTGCCTATGCAAGCAAAGATTACATGCGGGATAGAGACAATAAGCGCATAAGTTATAGGGGTTCCCACCGCGGCTGTCAGTGTACGTCCGAACGTGGTAGGCGACATTGTTTTGCGTTTCATTGTCCTACCTTAGCGTGCACTGAAGTACCCTCTGGCTATACGTAAATTCGTTAAAAAAAATTGTGTAAATTAAAAGAGACTGGCGAAATGTTATTCTGCAAATTAACGTCATACGCTCTTAAATTATCTATCGCTCTTTAAAAAAAGTTATTCACACTTCTATTTCTTTTTTTGAGCGTTAACTCGATTTTAATAGCGAATCATCGAAATAAGAGAAGGATTGGGTTCAAATATATTTTTATTTTCTTCAATAAATCGAGAATTGGATTTTATAAAACGGATTCCTCTCGACTTATTTAAGTAATTCTATTTTTTACACTTTGTAAAAAGTGTAAATAAAATTTTGTTTTTTAGTTGTTTCTCGCAATACATATTTCCATAGACATATATATCTATGGACTGCACATTGCATGATTTTTAGGCCGGTATTTATAGTTCGTTCTTATTTCAAGATTTTAAATAATGTCATGCTAATACTGTTCTGTAATTGGTTCATGAAATCTTAAAACTGTTTAAGACGATCTTATAATAAATATAAGAACCGATATATGAATACCGATCTTATAGCATCTGTGTTGCGCGAAAGAATTAAATGTATCAGCATCTCTCTTCGATACCTTAGAGAGAGAGAGAGAGAGAGAGAGAGAGAGAGAGAGAGAGAGAGAGAGAGGGGGGGGGGAACTCTAAGCTCTCTCTTTCTAATTTGGTAGTACGCGGAAAAGGAAAGTAGGTGTTTTAATTAAAAACTAGTGTGGTAATAGTAGGTGTAAAATATGGACAGCTAAAATATATAGGTGTCATAGCTAATGTCCTACTTGTCAGCTGTGATACCTATATTATAACAGCAATACTAAATTATTTTGAGATAGTTTATAAATTTATAATTATAGTGGTAAATATATACTTTAACAAATCAAGATTAGCTACGACAAAGAAAATTCTTTTTTTCACATGACGATTTTATAGAAACGCGCACGACAATTTATTCTTATTATTTCTATAATCCCATCTTCGATTTACTCTTGTCAATGTTTCGCGATCGTCTTTTGTTTGTCGAAGCTGTGTCAAATACACTCAATTGCATTATGTGTAACAACTCGTTGTAGAATCTTGTATAAACGTATGCTGATCTGACTTTAGAAGGACGCAGAGAAGCTCTGAAACCATGCGATGTCCACTATTGGGAAAATTTTAACATATATAATAGAGATGAGTGAGAATAAAAGAAGCATCAACAGTATGTTTCATCCTCAATGGATTATTGGAAAGTCTTGGCAACCTAATATGATTAATGTTCAGTAAGTAACATAACAAATTATATATATTATACTAAATTTGGCGATATATTTCTTTTGTTATAAGAAACAGCATTTTGAATGTATTTTTATTTTCTAGTAAAAATTAATATATATATGTTAAGCGGTAACTATTAAGTTATCGCTTAACGTATATATATGAATGGGCACTCGACCATATTTGATCTGGACGCTTTTATTTAACATTTAATTAAAGGTAATTTGATTGATTTTGAAGTATTTAAATAGGACAAGCGTAATATCGAAATTTCTAAGAACGAAAAGAGAGCTTGACTAACAAGCACTCTGCATAATAAAAATCGATTTATCAATTATGATTCGCAAATAAACGCCCTTTCTTCAACAAAGACAACTGTGTGTAAACATTTCAATTTAATGATCCGAGCATTCTCGGCCATTGGTTGCACTATTCAGTCAAAATTCACGTTGAAATTAATCGTGACCAAAATTTTTTCTCATTATACGAATATCATGTAATTACTCTTTCATCAATGTTTATTATTTTTAAAATTTTAATATCATTATGTGCACATTTTTTATATACATAGATTTCTTTATAAAAATATTATATTATATAACATTCATTTTATTGTATATTAAATATTATTATAATGTTAGACATGTTATTTTATAATCGCAAACGGATAAAACTGAATGCCGTGCGGTTCAAATTGTTTCGAGCTGTTACACAAGTTTTGCGTGCTAAGTTTTCTCACCTTGATTTGTTGAATGTTTTTTATTTCGAAGCCTGGCATGGTCGATTGTTAGGTGTAACATCGGACTAATTATTTACATTTTTTAAATGATCGTATCGCGGTTACACGAACACTTTCACTACCATTATTCTATGAAAAATATATAAAATATTAAACGGAGTATGTTACATTTTTATTCAGCATAGAACAATATAATTATTACATATATATTACATATTTTTCTATTTAATAATTAAATATTTTTCGAAGATAAATTTTCTGTGTTACATAAATATTTAAGAGTAATGTGAGATTCTGAAAAAGTTCGATAACCTGTATCTAAACTCTATAAGTATACAATATTTCTAGAATATTGTATGAATATTGTTTATCTTCTGCAATATTCTAGGGAAATATATTGTTTTATAGGAAAATTTTCAAAATTAATAAATAAATAAAATCTTAATTTTTGTAGCTAACTTTCTTCGGGCCTAAAAATAATTCTAAAACTAAACACAGCAATTCAAAAATAAAACAACTGTCTAAATTCTCTTTACTGTCTTTGAAACCGAAAGAGAAAAGTAAATAAGAATAATTTTTTGTAACTGATTTATGTAATAAACAGTGATTCGAGGAAAGTTGACTCTTCAAAATTCTTGAGAATTAGACATGCGGTGAATTATAAATTCAATTATTTTCCGATATTATACGTGATGATGACGTCAGATACGCTTCTCAAAGGTGCGTATTTCTCCCTCTCTGTACATGGTCGCGAGTTTCTCGCGCCTCGTTGTCGAGGACGAGGCCTCAGCAGCCCCGAGTTTCCACTGGCTGTCCGAAGTGGACATTTATTGAACCTGCGATGTTTATAAAGCTTCCTTCACCCTGCCACCTCGCCGTTGATAAAGTTCGGAAATAACGAGTTCTATCTTCTATCCGTCATGCGATCGTGTTCTGTGCACACCGTAAGCCACGGCGTGCATCGTGCAAGGTGCGTTTCCAAGTGATAAATCTCCTGCGTCGAAGAAAAAAAATCGTGCTTGATTAATCTGGTGAAATGAGTATTAAGCGAAGAGTATATAACACAACGAGGGAGAGGAAGCAAAACTCATATTCTCTGTAAACGGATGAAATTAATTAATTAAATAATAATTGACTTATATTCTTTATTTACCACGGAATGTCTTAGTATTGAAGAAAATCCCGAATTTGAATTGTTTCGATTTCGTTGCTTCAAAAAATTGAATAATAAATTTTAAATGTCAGTGTATTTTAAGTATTAATGTATTTTAGTGAACATTGAAAGTATGACTTTGAAAGTATCAATAAAATACTTCTGACTTGATAACAAAAGGAATGCGTATTTCATTTTTATGCGTCAAATGCACTTTGTTTTTAAAGACGCATTCAACCTATCGTGATTATGTCAAATTGCAAATTATTCGATTATATGATTTGGCAAGCAGTGTAATGGGAATCGCGATACGTCCACAGAGTAAGAGGAGTTGTTTTCAGATCGCCCAAGAACTTGCGCAACAATAGATTCGACTTCATGAAGTCCGACGTGGCGTTGCCCGAAAGTAAGTTCGGCCTCGACCTAAATATTTACACGACATTTTGCAAATTATTTTATTACGTCCTTGTGATGGTTTTCAGTGCTGGTTTCCGTTGTGCCCCCGTCGGACACTTTCAATCCTTCCACCGATAGTCTGCACGCAGCCATGAGACCGATCATTTTACTGGCCCAATGCTTTTCTATACTTCCAGTGTGCGGTATCAATAAGCCGGATGCCTCGTATCTTCGGTAGGCAGGAACGGTTTGCGGTTATCTGATCGATGCTCCTTTCTATTAATGTAGATTTAACATTAATTTTTGTTTAACTTACTTTTTATCCTTTTCTAATTTTAAAAATTAGTAAAAGCAGAAAGTAAATTAAATCAAGACAAAAATTAATCTACATTAGTAGAAATGAGCCAAATGTCCATTTCTAATAATATTGATTAGCCTTAATCTTGGTTTTTTATTTATAAAAATAAAGAGTAAATTAAACCGAGATTAAAAGTTAATCTATATTGCATTGGATAGAAATAAACCTGATGTCCATTTCAACCAATATAGATTGGCTTTAATCTTGGTTTAATTTATTCTTTATTTTTTTCTAATTTTTAGAAATGAAAAGAAGACAAAGAGTCTTGAAAAGAATAAAAAATGGAAAAGGATAAAGAATGAAAAAGATAAAGAGTAAGTTAAATTGAGATTAAAGTATAATCTACATTGGTTGAAATGAATACGCGAGTTTAACTCGCTCTTTCGGTTTTTTTTTTTTTAACGTTCTCTCTAATTCTCCCTAATCGAAATTCTCACGAAGCTTCACGAATGTCCTGCAGATTTACATGGTACAACCCGAAAGTCTTTTACGCGATAATCGTTATTCTGGGAACGTTTCTCGTGACACTTGCCAATATTCATCGTTTGGTCACTTCGGGGATAGATTCTACAAAAATGAGTAAGTTAGCCTTGTTATGGATACAGGTAACAGGATGTAGGAACACAATCCGTTATTTCTAAGCGATACCTATTCTCAATTACCAGCGACTTTCGTTTTCTTTGCTACGGCTATGATGACCGCTGTTATGTTTATACGATTGGCAATTCACTGGCCTTGCCTGGCATTAACTTGGGAAAAACTGGAACGTGAATTCACCTCGAGACATCGGCGGATTTCGAAGACCACTCTTGCAACTCGTTTCAAAATCGTAACCTTTGTTGTTATGTTGCTCGCATTAGGTAAGCGCTAATCGTAGATCAAGATAAAAGGATTTTATGAAGGCATTTTTTTCGTATTTTATTTCATTTATTTTTAATTCAAATTTGGAATTCTAATTTTGATGATTTAATTTTTTGATTTGATGTAAATAAATTATATTGACAGAACTAATTTATCTCGTAAAAATTATGTTTATATTTACCTAATTATTTTAACTTCTATTTGAATATTAAAGTTGTACGTTAACATATATTAATTCCTTATTTTAAAAGATTAGAAGAACGTGATTTTTTAAATTATTATCAATGAATAATTTAAGTAAGCGTTGAATAAAATTATCCTACTACATCAAAAGTAAACTAATATTTGATTAATCAAGTAATATATTTTTATATAGGGGAACATACTGCCGCGGTGATGGCTGCGTATACCAGTGCATTAGAATGCGCAGCGTATCGCGGTGACGAGGATATTATTGGTACTTATTTCATATCGCAATTTCCTCAGGTAATACACTCGATACGCTTGATTCGTAATTATATCGCATCTTAGAATTAAATATATTTTTCAATGTTAAAAAACACATTATTCTCTTTAAATGGAAATAAAAACCAGATAAAAAACGATGCATATTTTTTTAATTATTGTTGAATTAATATTACATAGCATTGATTGATCAGCAATTTTTTACAGATCTTCACAAAATGGTCCTACAGTCATTGGAAAGGGATCGTGATTGAAATTTTAAATATCCTTAGCACATTTGCATGGAATTTCGTCGATCTGTTTCTTATTCTTATCAGCGTAGCTTTGGCGGATCAATTCAGACAGCTGAACAGCCGCCTCTTTTCGATACGGGGAAAGGTATAGTGCAATCTGTTATAAGATATTTGTCTTCTCCTGTGAAAACTTTTATTCATCTTCCTAACATCCACATTCAAGTATTTTTTTTCCTTAAAGAAGAGAAATACTCTAAGTATTTTAAATTAGTTAATGATTAATTACTTATTTTGAGTATTAAATGTTGTTAACCAATTAAATACTTACTAAATAATACTTACTTATTAAATTTCTTTGTAGATTCATTCAAACTATATTTTAATTGTTATTGTCAACCCTCTAAGTTCTTTGGATTAAAATCTCACTTTAAAGAATGAAAGTTGACTCAGTCTTGAAGAGAGTGGCTCAATTTTCAATCTTTAAGAGTGAGATTTCACTCTTCGAAGTGACAATTCACTTTAAAAGTTTTAGAGAGAAGTCACGTTCAGAAAAGATTACCCGAGTAGTTCGTGTATCATTTTTCTCGTGTAACATTTGATGAATAACAAGGATAAAATAATATACAGGAACACTCTCAAGTAGAGTAGCTCAACGTGTTATATTAATCGAGAAAAAAAATCTTTGCTTCTACTAACAACTCGTCGCTATTATCTCGTTAAGGCGATGCCGGAGTGGTGGTGGGCCGAAGCCAGGAATGACTATAATCACTTGGCGACTCTTACGCGTAGAGTGGATACTCACATCTCGAGCATCGTGCTTCTGTCCTTTGCTATAGACTTGTACTTCATCTGTATGCAATTGCTGTTTTCCTTCAAGTACATTTTATATCTAACATATAATTTACAATAACAATTTTATCTTTAAATATATTATACATCGATCAGTTTCTTAGATCTAATATAAAAAAATATCATTTATGCTTATATGCCACCTACTATATATATAAATATTTAGATTTATATTTACTAATTTTGTGTCAATATTAGCTTTGTCCGAATGCAAGACAGTTTTATGAAATTTTATATCGAAAGTTACGTCACGAGAGTTTATAGGGAGTAGAGGCCATAAAGCTGAATGAATTTTTCAAACAGTAGATCCTATAAAGTAGCATGAATTTTTCAAACAGTCCAATACGCGGTATCGTACGGAAAATCTACTTTTGCTATTCCTTCGGCTTTCTCTTGGCGAGAACAACGGCGGTATCCTTGTACGCGGCTTCCATTCACGATGAATCTCGTCTGCCGGCACCGATTTTGTATAGCGTCACTAGTTCTGGTTACAGCAATGAGGTTTGTCACAAGAGAAATATTATTATACATATAGTTTAGGTCGATTAATTTTCATAACTGACATGCGATAATCTGAGAGAGAAAGCTCTAAGTAAAAATTTAATATCTGTCAACATGTATCTTCTTCATGCGTATAATAATAAATTAGAAATTTTTCATTAAACAAGATTAAGTTTACCCTCTCGTAATAAAAAAACTTGTAGAGAGCTAAAAGATTATACGATGTTGGTTATCAGAAAAAAAAGTAATGAATGTTATTTATATATAAAATTATTATATTAATTTTCTTGATCGTTCTTTTGTTTACAAGTTGGTACAAAAGTTTGCATATAAGTTTGCACTTAACGTTGCGCAGGTCTCAAGATTTTTGATGCAAGTAACAACGGATAATATTAGCTTGACGGGAATGAAGTTTTTTTCCGTGACAAGAGGCCTTGTGTTAACCGTAAGTAAGTGACAATTTAAAAGAGTTAAATGTAGTTTAATTATTTGACTAAAAGCAAACTTATCGCGCTGTAAAGTATGGTTAATGGTTAATTATTTGCATATTATTCATATTTTATCTCTATTACATATTTTCTGAAAAAATAATTTGAAAATATTAATAATTTATTTGTTATAATAATATTTTATTTTATTTAACTAAGCAACGAACACTATCCTTTACTATTAAAACGAGATTCAGATTAGATAATTTTAAATAATAGTTACAATTAATATATTTTATTCAACTATGAATGATAATTTAGGTTGCAGGAACTATCGTGACTTATGAACTTGTTCTGGTACAGTTCAACTCCGTCCAGCAAGTGGACCAGTCGAATAATATAACGAATGCTTGCGAGGTGAGGTAGAGAGAGTTTTCGAAAAGGAAATTTATATCACTATATTGACAACAAATCGCACAATTTTATTATAATAAATGCATTAAATAAATTTTAAACTGCATTACATTCATTGTTGCATTTTATGGCAATTTTTTAATTGTTCCCTTCTTTTGTAACCAATTTCCTCTCAAATTTTTATATAATACGATCTTTCTCTTTTATATTATTAGCTTTTATATTATATTTTGTATATTTTATATAGGTACAATAAAACTGCTGGAGTCTTCTATATTTTCACATTACTTATGGTAATTTTTCTGCAATTTTACGTAAGATAAGTACATATGAATTACGCCATGACAAATAAAGTTGTTTTTCTTTTTAATGTAATATACTACTTTTACTTTTTCACCGTAATTTCTGTTTATACGATTTTATTTCTTGGTTTACTTTTTGTTCTAGTTTTCCTTTGGATTTCATTAACTCGATATATATTCTGGAGAAAAGCGGAAAGGATATTTCATCAGCGTTGAAATTAATATTGTTACAAGACAATATGTATATCGTACTTATATACTTAGCTGCGGAGAGCACATCGTCATCCGCAGGAATGTGAATCAAAAGCACATACAAAATATTTTTATCTATTGATAATGCGGCAATAATTTTGCTGTGAACGATGAATGAACTAAAAGATATTATTTAAATGTAATATTTAAGAATCTTGTACAAAGTATATGTTATTAAAAAAATATTATAAATATGTAGGAATATAGTGAGACAGACTTTGAAAGATTTTATTAAAATTAAGAAATACATTGAATCCTTAACTTACCTGATGTAAAAATGATGAACGATATATTTATATAATTATGAAAATTTATGTAAATTATGGAAAATGTTTCGACGTTGTGATGTGAAGTATTAGGACATATGTACATCGAAATAATACATAATAACCGAAGCAACAATTCTTGCGACGAATTTCTGTTATAATAAATATTTCTTGCATAATTGTTCTTACAAAATACACAAATGCACATTTCTGTAAGAATAGCATGTAATTGTGTGATTTTAGCATTTAGTAAAATTTGCATAGAGATGATAATGTATAGGATGAGGGTTTTAATTTTTATTTATTTTACTTATATTATGTCCTATAATCTAGATTATAGTATTTGCCTTTCGTCGGTGTAACACTACTTATTTGTTCATCGCGACATTAAATTGTAGCAGCACAACTTCGTACGTTACAATTGCACCAGCCACCTGTACATGAATTTAAAATAAATGATGATTATAAACAAAGATATTGTAAATCATAAAACGCAACAATATTAAAAATATTAAAAAATTAAACGTTTCTACGTTTTAAATGCATTAATGCAACATCTAAATCAAATATTATACATAAAAACATATTTTATTTATACCGCGTATACTTGACGTAATATATCACTATCATAAATGACTTTTTTTCTTAAAGCAAAACTGTCGTATTGTATAAATGAAACGCTACAGAATTTTCTATTAAATCTTGATTAGTTTACCGCCAACATAAAATTCCGCGTAATAGAAAAGAAACGCATTCCAGTAAGCGTGATGTCATCAGTGCTGAGTAGACATAACAGCCTTTCTGTCTGTAAAATGACTATATAAATTATACGTATACGAAATTGCGCAAATTAATTAAATAATTTGCACAGAACGTTGATAATTTCCAAAATTACTATTTTATTTACTCTCTTTTATGACTTTACGATGAAATTTGAACGGTTTACCTCTTTGTCATAAGTAGATGTTGAACAAGTATATAGAATCGGCAATATTACTTTGCTTTGATCATGAATCCTAGCAGTGAGCAGAGTGACAATCACCGTTCTGCCGATCAGAAATAAGAAGGACTCGAAGAAGTATATATCGCTGATTATGCCGTCGTCCGATTTTCTGTAAAAATGCAATAAAATGAGAATCGAAGTTAGAAATAATAATAATAGTAATAACTTTATAAATTGGCATTTACTGATCATATTAATTTGTGTGAGTGATACATTTATATTTCTATAAATTATTAATAAAAGTAAAATAAATTAAAAATTAATAATAACTTTGTGTAATTGTTTTTTAAAAATCACACACACACACGCGTACTACTCACGACAATCCGTTGAGTAGCTGTAAACAGATAAAGTAAAGATTATTTGCAAACGACAGGAATATTATAGGTGAGATATCGTTGTCCACTTTTTTCACCATGCAACTAAGAGTAGCATAATCTTCGCGCAATCCACACCAGTCTATTGGTCGATGTTTCGGTATAGAACTAGTAACGTACTTGTTCAATATTTTGTATCTTTCAGCCAAACCAGTAGCTATCTGAAAACTCAGACCAGAAGATCGAATTACATATAGTTACAATAAAATTGGAAACATTTAATTCTGAACAGAGAAAGAGGTGTTGTTGAACTATTTGCAAAGTTTTATTACCATTGCGATGAAAACATCAGTAAAATTCCACGTAAAAGTCGCCAGTTTGCTGACGATAAAAATGAAAATACCAAGCGCCAAGTTATATTTCACTGAAAATAAAAGTTCTAAAGTTCTGAAGCAACCAAAGTTTTTAAATAAATCTAAGAGAAAAGAAACACAGCTATCAAATAAACAAGTCTTTGGAGAAAAAGTTGGAAGTTTAATTACTTTACAAGAATAGCCAAATAAACTGCGTTGCAATTAATAATGCTAAAGAAAATAATTAAAGAAACGGAAAACTTGCAAAATTGCAATATATATGTATAAAAGAGTTATAATTATTGATAATTATTTATATTATAATAAACAATTATACAACTATTTTATTATAATAAAATACTTTTTAATATTTTTTATGTAAGAATTAATCAATTTATTTTCAATTAAATTAATTATTATGAAATTTTATTCAAACATTTTATTTATCTATGAGCAATATTTCTAGATTAATAGTTAAGAGATTGCTACTTACGTATCTCCAATATAAACGCGTGAGAAGACGTGCAATAAATTTCCAAAAAATTGAGAAACGTCGCATTGTTCGATTTGCCGCTCCAGTCATATTTTTTGGTGTGCACTAATATACTAAAGATATGTTCAATAAGGGCCACAAACAGAATAGAAGCTGCTATCGAATAGAGTTTCCAACGGAGCTTTGGTCGTTTTATCTTGTTACTGCAAAAACGAAAGGTTCTGATAAATATATATATTGACAGGAATTATAAAGCAATGCAAAATTAATTGACTTTAAACAGAAACATAGCTCATTAAATTTCCATGAAGAAATAATTGATTTAAAAAGATGTTAGCTTCGGCAAAGAGTTGTTAAACATTTACGCCGTTCGAGGCGAGATTACAAGCAATAATATCTATTGATAATGGGTGTTACAAACACGCGATTACTTTATCATATTTGCGTATCTGGCAGTATTAGATGAATCCGAAGTTAGACTTATCCATATCACATCATAAACTAAATAATTAAATACATATATGTATTCTCTAAATTCTTTAGAGTAAAATTTCACAATTTGACAATTGAGTCAATGTTGCAAAAATGGCAGTTTTTTTTAAGAGCGAGATTTTTTTTTCACTTTTTGAAATAACTGAATTTATTCCAAAAGTTTTAGAGAGTAAGTAAAGTGTATTTAAAATTTTTATGTATTCTTAAAAGAGGAGAGAAGAGAGAGAGAGAGAGAGAGAGAGAGAGAGAGAGAGAGAGAGAGAAGAAAAAATAACATGTGCAATTTTAATACAATAATATTATAATTATTTTTCGATCCGCAAATTAAGTTTATCATTACAGCATCTGACGGATTTGAATATGACGCTTGTTATTATTCTTGTAACACCTGCTGTCACCGTGTGATAGCACATGTGCGATCGTAATCTCTCGAGAGTTGTCGAGAATATACATACTATTCTATGTAATGCCGCATGCAGTTCTGAAACATGCGGGCCGCGATCATCGATCGGTTAGCGATACTATCCTTTCTTGAGCACGCTGATATCTACCTGTCTATGAACAGCTCCATGGATCTCCAATCACGTTGGAGAGTTACCCAGCGCGATGACAGCCAGAAAAATATTGTCAGGCCAATCACGCAGTTAGCATAAAATATCGCGCCTGACGTAGCAGCCGCTATTCCTCCTAAAATCCAATCGCACATTTAAGAATATGTGTCTGACAATTTCAAAGAAAGATTCAGAGAACGTGCGATGAAGAATGCATGTGTTACAGCATTACCGAACATATAAAGATTTTTGGATTGTTCTGTTATCACGTATCTGTGTTTAAGCACAAAATGTTTTAAAAGTTATTTAATTTTTTGCCTCAATTCTTCTATAAAATCGTTTTGTGATACTTATTTACATATTTGTTGAGAAAATAGATACACGAATTAAATAATAAAATTAATAAAATAGAACTTTAATAAATATTCGTGGAAAAGTTTATTCAGATTTATGCTTAAAAGCTATTTATCTAAAACTGCAGCAAAATATAGTAATTGCTCTGCATAAAAGAGAAGAGAGCCATAAAATGTCACAGTTCGTTGTTTTATTTTTTGGAGTTGTTTGAGGGCGTATTTACGACAAACATTTTTTAAATGTCGATATTAAAGATATTTTTACTCTGCGTAATATCGTACAAAAATTGAGGGGATGCGGCGAATAACGGAATAACTCGAAAAATGACGTTTTGAGAAAAACGCAAAAAACGTAGAAAAGTACTTTATACATATTATATCGAAAAACTGTTTGGCTGATAGTTAGATAATGATATTATACCTTAAATCATTATAGAATAATACAAAAAATTATACAGAAATCAGTAAAAAACTGGATCGTAAATTTCGAGTTATTCCGTTTTTCATATTATTGACACAATTTTCATATATTGCACTTACTTTATGGATAGGAAAATAATTTCTGCATAATTATTCGTATTTTTAATGACAAATGAAATTTTTATATATTACTTTTTGTTGGGAAATGAT